TTCGGATTACTTTCGTCTCGTTTTGTTCGATTTTCAAATACACTCGAATCGACGCAATCATGCTAAATTTGTAGCCTTGTAATCTTATACAGGTTACATATAACGTGGACATATTGTAACGAAATCGCGGATATCTTCGCGGAAAGCATAGCGCGATAGCTCTGTTAATATTCATAGACAATTTTGTATTCCGACGAAAGAAAATTGGATCGAGAAGACATTATCCATATAAAATAACAATTTTAAATATATATGCAAGAATTTTGCAATAAAAAATGACCATGACAGCTATCGATCGTACATAACGCGATTGTCTGTATCAAGATAATGGGCCAAATGAAGAAATGAAGAAATCCACTCTTGATGGAAAATATAAAGAGAGGCGTGTATTTCTAGCTAGAAAGCACGAAGTAAAGCATATCTTATTACAAAGTATTTGTATTGTATTCTAAAGCGTTTACCTTTCGAGCTCTTAGTTGTCTCAACATTTCTACAAATAGGTTTATTCTCTTCTTCGTGTAAATAATTCAATGGAGAAATAATTTCGTATTTCATTTGAGGGACAATCGCGGACTATTAAAATGCTTATTCGAATATCCGTTCATTGTTTTTCTATCTAGTACTCATAAATTCAATTTCCTGCCCTTGCTTCGCTTGAGAATTTATGCTAATTGAGAAACGCTTATTCCGCAATGGTCAGCAGTTTCAACGATTTTTTGATGTTTGCTGCATTATTCACATGAGTGAATTCATTTACTTTGGAAACTGCAAGTGGAGTTAATAAGAGGAATTACGCTTCGCGTATTTCAACTTTGTTCGATGGCGTCTATTTTTATGTAATACTCGAGTTAAATGTGCGAAATTTAAAGCGCAAGCGAAGGTTGATAAATTTTCATTTGAAAAATATTGATTTCAAACTCCTCGTTGCATGTTTAAAAGCGCAGCTACATTCATGAGCTCTATCATTTCTATTTTATTTATCTCTTTTATTATTCAACCAAGGGTTTCAATCCAAGACAAGGAATTAAATTTTCCTATGGAGAGAAAAGAGAAACGGACAGATGCATTTACGCGAGGGAAAAGAAGAAAGAAAAGTCGCGAGCAGAATTGAAAATTCGACAGCGAATGACGTAAGCGCGTTTTTCGTTGCAGTCAGCCGCGTAAGATGCATAGATGTTCCGGGCCGGAATTCTGGCATCCCGGTGACAGGATGAACAACGTTAATAAGAAATGCGCTCCCGAGTGCGCTGTGCACGAGTTTTCACCAGCACGGGCTCTTTTTCCATTCTGTTCCCGTTGCGTCGGTTTAGGTTTGGGTTAATGTCGCGTGTCGTATGCATTTCGAGAAACGACATTCACAGGCCGAAACAGCAACCCTTCGTTTCGTTGTTAATTCCCTTTTTGTACACGCGTGAATGTAAAATAGTTTTTAATTTTCGATCAATGAATTGGATGAAAATTGGATAAAAACGTTATTGTCAACCTTTAACCTTTTCCTACCACCTCATGTATGAAAAAAATATAAATTTGCGATGAGGAAAAAACCGATGTAAAATACAGTTGTGTAAATAAAACAGTAGTAACATGATGAAGTAGCTATTGTTTTCACATGCAGCTTGTCACAACATTCTATCATTATCACATATTTTCGAATTATATCCAGAAAAATAAAGTGGAGAATAAAATATCTGGAATTCTTTGCTATTAACTACAACCTGGACTGTCTGTGACGGATCGATTGATTGCGTTGACAGATGATCCCTCTTTACATGATTTCTTACTTGCAAGATGATGCGACGTAATTTGATCGAGCATCGTACTCGAGTATTTGTACGTGTCGTATTAGCTTCTAATGCCAACTTGATGAATCGAGTATCTCGAAGTTAAGTCCATAATCTTTCCTCGGATTGCGCCAATAATATTACAAGCTTGATAAGATTTTTTTAGCTATATGAAAAAAAACGTGAGATCAATCTCCTAAATAGAATTTAACCATAGAATACACAAAACATGGTAATTTTTTTATCATTTTAATGATTAGATTTCTTACACATCAGGTATATGTATTTATACATATATTGCTAGATTTCAAATTAATTTAAAGCGTTGTCGCGTTACATTATTTTAGCGATTTCCCATGAGATTGCTCATGCAAAGGGAGAGGGAAAGAGGATGCCTCGTGGATGCTTGCAATACTCTCGAGCTAGTCAGTTTTTTACTGGCTGCCAATCAACCCTTTGCATCATCTACTAGTGCGTTCCTGCTTGTTGCCTATTATACTCTCAATTTCCCAGTAGTCACTAAAGCGTGAAATCCTTTGAGCTGTTTGCATACCTTTTACCGATACATATAGCCATGTACGAATTGTCCGCATTCCTAGAAGCTATCTTTCATATCATAGGTAATGTGCAAAATTGAACATTCTCTGAGAATTTTTTATTATAGTTAAAAAAATTTCATTTTTATATCATTAACGATAAATTAATAAATCTAATAATAAAAGTAGCAAAATAATATGTAAAGGATATAATAAACACAATAATAATAAATTTAAAGAATTATTTCTAATGCATATGAATGTCTCAAATCGTAATTTTGGAGATTCATTAGGTATTTCTAACTCTGTTGTATACACAGCTTTGAGATGAAACTATGATTGGGTGGAAGATTTTGTCCGTTGCTTTCATTAAATAGATGAAACGGTGGATCGAGTTTCGTACAGGTTGACGCTGTCCTAATGAGGCATACGTTTCTCTCTAAGCTGAGAGGTAACTCTTTCTCTTGTGCTTCTCTTTCTCTTTCTCTCTTTAAGATAGAGAGAAAGAGATACTTCAGGTTTCCACTTGGATTCTCAACGATGAGATTCTGACATCACCCGACCTAACCCAAAATTATACGATGAATTCACGAATATTGAAAATTTTGCACTTTATCCTGTATTTTGTAATCCTATTTTATACAAATTAATTAATTAAATATTTATTTTAATTTGCGCAAGTAAATGTTTATTTTAATTACGTGTTTTATGTTTAATCTTTTTATATCTACAACACACTCTTGCAGTGAGCAATTAAAAAATTGGGGATAATAAAATTTAAACTAATGTCTGCTTGGTTTAACTCGATAAGCTTCATTCAATAAAAGATTTTCTACTTGCATAGTGAGAATTAGGGAGGAAAAGGATTAAACATAGCGCAATATTAGCGCTAGATAGGATTAGTAGGAGCAAAAGTGTATTACGTCATGGGAAAGGAAAAGAGTGTGTACACGTGGATAGCAATCCTGTTTCACTCGTGGCGGTGGGATAAATTGTCGCGTGTTGTTGGAAAATCACGGAGGTCGACGGTTGGGGAACAGGCGCCGAGACGTCTCGACGCCGTTTCACTGGCGTCGTCTTCTCCAGACTCCAGTTCCTTTCCTCCCCGTTCTCTTGTGTATTCCCTCATATTTCTCTATTGATTCCTTCTTTCATCGCCTGATCGATTTACTTTCCTCGGCCATTATCGTATATTTTCCATAATTATAAAATAAAAAAGATATATAAAGATGACAAGAACATGAGCACATCAAACTTAACTGCAAAATATTGTGCTTCTTTTTTCGATAAAACACTTGCACATTAATCTTTAGAAGATTAATAATAGTTTGCACGCATCTTTACAAGAAGAAAAAATTGTTTAAAGTAAGAATCCGTTCTATTTCGGCGCATTAGTTGCCAACGCAAAGTTTATTTTATGTGTCAAATTTTTTAATATTAAGTTGTCAAATTTTTTAATACCAAGATGACGGAAGTGAAGAATGGTTACTTCCTTCCGGCAGTCTGATGTACGTGACGTATGAATATGGCGTAAGATTAAAATACTTTCATCGTCGGCGACACATCAAGGGTGACATCGTCCCACGGGAAAGGTATATCATTTTCACGCACGCAAAGTTCAAAAAAGAAAACGGTTATAAGAAAATATATATATGGAGAAAAAAATTATCATGCGCGTTTTTCGCAACTATGACTCTCTCTTTAATAACTTCGATGGAAACAATAACTGAAAATTATTTCAAGATTTGAAATATGCAAAGATTTACAAGAATATAAATCATAGACGTAATACACACATTTTCTTTTTATTTCTATTTTGACAATTATTGTATAATAAATTATTAAAAATATGTATTAAATAAATGTTTTAGTCATAAGCACCACAGAAAAAACTCGATTAAAAAAGAAATGTACAATTCATTCTTAGCATTATAAAAGTTCTATAATAAATGATAATTAAGACAACGCTTCATAAAACTAAACCTTATAAATAGAGATTCTGTCATTTTTTTATATGATTATATATATAATGATTTTTATTATTATATATATAATATGATTATATATATAATGATTTTTATTTATATGATTATATATATATATATATATATATATATATATATATATAAAAGATTTTAATTAGAAATTTTAACTGCACATTGGTGATATGACAGAAAATTTTATTACTTTATAAAGTTTTCAAGATTAGTTAATCGCATAGGAAAAAATTAAATATAAATAAATGTTTATAAAATATAAAATTTAAAAAATATTAATACATACCTAAGTATTACAACTATTAATAAAATTCTTTAAAAGCCATATGTTGGAAATAATCGCGATGCTGAATTTAAAGATATAGCATACAAAAAAAAAAGATTCGATAGTTTCGAATTGCCGTGTAAAGAAATGAATAGAATAAAAATATCACACTATATAACGAATAAAAATATCACACTATATAACGAATTATTTTTGATCCATGAAATTTGTTTTGAAAGAACAATTTTCTTTGAAATTTGTTTTGAAAGAAAAATAGAAGATTGAGAAGTTAAGAGTCGCAATTTTTCGAAAATATGACAAAATTTCCCTGTTAAAAAATCAATTCAATCACATTTTATCATCTTCTACCATCTTCCATCACGAAAAAATATAAAATAATAATTCGAATTTTTCTTTATAGATTGTGACTTCGATAGCGGTGCGATAACTACAAAGTACCAAGATGGCTGCATTCGTGGCGAAGCAGATGGTCGGGAACAAGCTCAATGCGGTTAAAGGTAAATACTTTTAAAGGACTTTGTCTCTCTTTTTTCGTGTCGCGAATCATTCATTTTATAACAAGAATAATATTAGAATTCATCTCGCGACGGTTCCAATACATAAATTACAAATGCAAATATGTTTCCAATTTAAATAATTAATAAGAAGAAGGGACGATTATAATCTTTGATGTTTGTCTAAAAATTGACAATCAGAAAATGCGAATATTTCAGGCATACCAAGCAAACGTTATCGCAATCACGAATATCGCTTCTACAATAAAGTTCAATCGTAAAAATAAAACGAACGTTCTAAAGACTCCATGGAATTTCTTTCTATCTGCGCCAAAGTTTCAGCGAAACGTGACTCACCGCAAATTTGTTCTCCACAATTCGAATAGATTTAAACGGAATATCGCTCGATTATTTCGACATGAAGCTTTTCGACAATTCGCTTTTTCTTTTTTTAAAAAATAAAATTTATTGGAAACTGTTATCATAAAGGTATATAAGTATTGTTGCTTCTTCATAGAATTATTTCTTATTTTATCGTTAATTTTTCCGCAACATTTTATGTGTATTTTATTTATTAGTCGTGTATTTATTCTTGAGACATTTTAAAAATTGTTGCTCTTATCTAAACTTTTTAAAAGAAGAAATATAGAAAAAAGACATTGTTAAAACGAAGCTGTAACGAGCTGACTAGTGCAAAATTTTTTAGATTAAAATTGAAACAGTGCGTTTACACGTCGTATCTTGGTACATCAGGTTACTAGCACGTTTCACCTATGAAATTACCGTAAAACCGGACGGATCATGCAATCACCATGGCGGTCCTTGCAGTTATGATCGCGAGGATGTGGAGTAAAATTGCGCTATATTCGCATGTGCGCATAAACCTCGCCAGCCGGGGATGGAGTTCCGTTCGTGTTTATCGTAGCACCGCGCAACCATTACGTTTCGGAAATTCTCCATACGGGTAATTTCCCCGCTGCAAAGCGCCTGGAGCGTCCTTTTCAAACGAATGCATCATTTAATGCAATGCTTTCCAAAATGTACAGAATGTTCGTCTCATCAGAGATGAAGGGATGCAAATGAAAGCGCGATAGAGGATATAAATACTTTCAATCACAAATCCGTGAAATCCGATAAACGATGAAAAATTATTCGATACAAAATTTTGTTTTATTCTCTTTGGTCAAAAATTGAGATTACAATCATTTAAAAACGACTAAGCGTACCTTGCGTGAATCGATTTTAAAATACGTGCAATATAATGTAATATTACAATCATATCTTTAACATTCTTATTGTACGAGAAATAATGTCGGAGCTTTTAATTTAGATTATGACATAATTAGTAAATAATTAATAAAAAAATAGTAAATTTTTTTAGACATTTATATATTTAAGCGGCAAATAATGTCCGTATGCGTTTTTATAATAATAATAATATAGAAATATAACATGGAGCGTGAAAATATTTGCGAGATGTTAAAAAACATTGATTGTGGCAAGTATAAAAATCGGCTTCCAAATTTTAATCGTGATTCGAAATCGTGGTTGGAAGTTGGGTGAAAACGACAGAGATATGTACTCGCGACGAATCATGGCGTTTGCCCACTTCTAGTATGTCGGCGGCTTGAACGATGGCCGGCAATAAAACTTCTGTCATTAAGCGAAAGTTTCAGCTTTCGTGTGCGACGAAGCGGGGAAGCGTGTCGCGGGGAATCCATAATAGGGAAGGAGGGAAATGGGGCCCTTCCTCTCGGGGAACCGTGAACTCAACTTCTACTTCGAATCTTTCTTCCGTTCGAGAGGAGAGAGAGAGAAAAAGAGAGGAAGAGAGTAATGGAAAAAGAAAAAGAAAGAGGGAGAAAGTATATATATATATATATATATATATATATATATATATATATATAAAATAAAATGAAGTAGAATAAAATGTGTGGAATAATAAAGACTCGTACATGTTTGAAAATCTAAATACTCTTTTGAGAGAAACATTTAATATAATAAATAAATTTCCTTCAAAGGACATGTGAGAACTTTAACAAACGTATAATCTTTCAAACGTATAATTACGAGACGAGAGGACGAAACTAAACAAAGGACGGAGATCAAGATGAATCGTAAACGAGCGCGACAGGGATTAAAAGGGGAAAGGGAAATGAGGACGGATTGCGGAGGAAGAGAAGGATCGGCAACCCAAACCTCAATTGCAGCAGGCGAGCTCAATGAGAGCCCGCGACGGTTTTGCAAACCGAGCCGCATTTAGAAGTTTGAGTCAACGCCTCCCTTCTCTCCTCTAGTCCGGACCTTCGGTAGCTTTTTCGTTGCCTCTGCGGAGGTTAATTGAAATCCCGCTAATCGATCGACCGCGACCTATAGTACCAAAACCTAACTACTGTGAGTCGATAAAGCGTTGAAACGAAAGAGAAATAGATACGGATGGTGAATTGTGAGATTTACCATGGATTTATAATTAAAATCACAATAGTTATTTTTGTTTAAAGTTTATTATCTAATTTGACAAATTATTTGTCATATTTTCTCAATTTTCGACGTTAAATGTTGCATCTGATAACAGCGCATATTAATAAGAACCATATCTGAATCAATGATAAGAGTTATTATGGACATTACTATTCAGTTAATAAATTAAACTGTCTATCGATATCGCAGTGATAGACACAATCGTCCCATTAATTATGCGTTTCATAATTTATTCGAGAGAGCAACATAGGCATTTCGACGAATTATCACGATTATTCCTCATTGTCACAAATAGAAATTTTCTTTAAAAATAACGCAAGATGATACCCGATGATGCGTCTATCTAAAAAAAATATTCGGAAATACGGGTTCCTATTAGCGCAGAAATGTTCTGGACAGTTAGAATCTGACCGCAGATTGTAATTTATGCCCCGGATACAATTACACAATCATCTCAGATAATTAACGTAATGATGTCACATATATTGGCGCAAACAGGATACCTTAATTGCAGAACTTTCGCTCGTCGTTAATAATTTCCTTGAGCCTCGACGTACTTGTTGCGATACAATGGCGATACAATTACTCTAGAGAGCCATTGATTGTATCGAACGCGATATTTCACGAACAATAAGAATGTTTGAGGAACTACGCAGAATTTGAAACTGATTCGATTGACAAATTATTTATTACATAAGTTTTTTGAAAGAAATATTTGCTAAAAACTTTTTCTATATTTATAAAATAAAACTATAAACTCTTTGATAAATTTCAAATCTCAAACTTTAGAGAAATTGATGTTTGATAATTTGTTTTCTTAGTTATAGATTCGAGATGTTTGAAAGTTTCGTTATAAAAATGCTTAATGTTAAAAATTATAATAAATGACAAAATTTTTATGCGAATATTACATTATAATATTTTCTATACAATAGTATCAATAAAATTTTAATGTATCAATATATAATAACGATTCAATTTAGTAATTAAATATTTGACATTGCTGCATTTACAATTATTCACCAATTATTCACTACACGTGGAATATTATTGATAAAATATGTGAGCACATACAACACACGTCGATTAAATGAATAAACGTTTAAAGATTTATGATATATATGTAATGTAATTGGATTCTATAAATGAAAATATCGCGTTTCCAACATAAATCTACCTTTTCATTTACTATGTAAATTTTCGATTTTTTAGCGAAGCCGACTTTTCATCGCGCGCAATATTGTCCAATATTAATAATGAAAAAAAGATTCTTCCGATCAAGTTATCGACGAATAATCACTGTTCCGCACCATTTATCGGCGCACCTATTTTAATTTACGTATGGTCCGTAATGTTCGACTAACAATTTGTCATGATAGGAGGACGAAAACGAGAAACGTATGGCGGTGCAATCTGTCGGAGAAACGAGCAAAAAAGCTTACCCGATATATTTCGTGCTTGCGTTTTTTTGCGGTTGGACGTACCGCCGATCGATCGTTCCAGTTTTGGCTCGTTAAAAATCTCACAGGAGATTTTACAAGAAATAACTCCGAGCACACAGGAGGAAAAAAAATAGAAAACTTGAATGCGAGATTCTTTAATTTGCGAATTCTTGATCGAAATATTTCGGTGCTATCTAAACGTTGCAAATATTGTCATTTTTTAAAATCTTTTTGGTCCACGATGATGATTATTCGCGTCATTTGTTTTTATTTTTCGAGATATTACACATTTCGCTTTTCTCACACATCGGATAATTTATTTCATAATATTAAATATAAACCGACGTACTATCGACGCTAAAAACACGGTGATAGAATTTCTCATATTGCGAACGTAACTTTTTATCGGATGTGCATTACGCGGAAGTTTCATCACATTTGAAACGCGCCGCTTTTTCCGCGCTAGTATTGAAATTTTTGCCGCGACCGAGTTACATGTATTTCTGTACGAGTCGATTTATAGCGATTCTGCATTACGTATAGCTGCTACGCGTTTAGCGATATTTAATTAAATCCCGTCTGGTAGGCGGAAACTTCTGTCGATAGTTTGAAACAGTTTGCAACCGCTCTTACCACGGCCATCGGCCACGGCTCGCGGCGTGAATGGTCACGTGGATACAAAACCGTTATTTAGAGAGCCAATCAGAATGTTTGTTCAGATAATATTCCAGTCATTTTCTGACTTTATGCAACGAGAATATTCAACAAAAATATAAAACACGCAAGACACAGAGAAATTAACTTTTGCCTGGTTACAGAGAAAGATGTAATACATGTGTTTGTAGAATGTAAAATCATCAAAGCGATAAATTGTAATTCAGAGAAGCGCACTTTTAACATATCATTTTTGTGGTAATCAATTCCTTTTCATGAAAATACCTAATATGATGAATATAATTAAACAATAAATGATTTTGCAGTAATATATTGCAAGAATGTATGCCAATCTAATTACAGCGATGAAGATATTTTTAATGCATTTTGGTTCACATTGATGTCTGTAGGAAGTCACCGGCA